AGAGTGGGCTGGATGTCAGCGTGTGGGAATCTCCCCAGATACCCACCGAGTTCCTTACCACATCTCATTTGGTTCTCGGGTTCCCAGCACCAGTGGTCGGCAGAGGTAGGTGGCACTTCTGTTACCCCCCCGTTTCAGCAGTCCGGCTTCAGATGCTTCTTCCAGAAGTTTGGGAGCTGACCCAGTGTGTGCTTAGTTTTGGTAGCTGACTGTAATATCTTCTGCTTCATTATGTCTTTTCTCCCTCAGGGCTGCTCCAGAGGCCCCTCCTGCTGACCTGCAGGATTTCTTGAGCCGGATCTTTCAAGTACCCCCAGGGCCGATGTCCAATGGGAACTTCTTTGCAGCACCTCACCCTGGCCCTGGGACCACTTCGACCTCCAGGCCCAACAGTTCAGTACCCAAGGGAGAAGCCAAACCTAAACGGCGGAAGAAAGTGAGGCGACCCTTCCAACGATGACACCCCTTCTTTTCCTTCCTCAATTCAATGTCAGGGAGTCAAAAGGGCTGTGTACAGCACAGGATGGAATTTGACTTGTTTATTTTTAAATACTTTAAAAAGGGAAAAATTTAAATTGTTCACTCAGTACTTAGAGGAAGCCCATGACCTATTCTCCCTCTTCCCCAACACAGGAACTGAATCTTGTTTTCTGACAATACCAAAGAAATAGGAGGTGGCTAGAGCAAAGAACTTGGGGTCTGGACTTAGTCCAGACAATACGTTCCTGAGGTGTGGGAATTTCTCTGGGGTCTGTATGCCTTTATCTTATCATTTGCTCTCAGAGCAAATGAAACACATCCCATTTTAAATGAGTGTATCTTATTTCTTAACCATTTCAGCACCCCACCCCCCTGATGTATTAGCTAAAAGAAAAAGCATGTAGTCCTAATTTGGAGATACAGAATTCAGAGTGGAAATAGAATTTTTCCTCTGACTTTCACTTTTTGGGTAAACAACCTAACTTCAGGCTTGTTGCAAGGATGGCCAAAATCAATTTTTAAAAGGAAGACTTATGCCCTGTGCCCTTGGGTGAGGGGAGGATAAAGGGGTTCCCAGAGGCCCCCTTGTGAGCCAAGGGTTTGTATTTTTTTAAGTTTGTTCATATTTGTATGTACATATCTATTTAAAGCCAGGGGATTATCTTTCTATAAATATATAACTGGCAACTTACATCTTCTTTCTCTTCTTTGCCCATGTAGCTGGGAGTTCTTTTCTGTTTTCTTTTGGAGACAGAGTCTTATTTTGTAGATCAGGCTGGCCTCCAGCTTGCAGTGAGTAATTCTTCTACCTCTGCCTCCTGTAGGCTAGGATTATAGGCATGTACTACCACACCTAGCTTGGGAGCTCTTTTTCCTTATTTGAGAATTATTTACTTGCTGTTAGCTGTAAGTGAAAGGTGTCCCATATTGGACCAAAGGAAAAGTGACAACAATTTGCTTACATTTTTTTTTAATAAGTTGGCATTCCATATTTCCTCCCCATTATTATGAGAACATCTCTATCCTTGCTTATCAAATTTCAGCCATAACTGAGAAGACTTTATTTTAAGGAAAATATACATCAAAACAGAACTTGAAGGTGGAAGGTTTCGAAGACATGGAAAAACATAATCACCAGAAAACCTGCCCAAACATCAATGGCTTCTTGTAAGATAGAGGAGAGTGGGTGGTATGGACCTTAACTTCATTCACCTTTCCTGATTCAGAGAATCTTGACCCTGTTAAGGGTGGGCCCAGGAAATCCACTTTCCAATCTCTTCCTTCTTGGAGTTTAGAAAGGTTTTGTCTTATCTCTCAGGCTTCCAAGATCAGAAGATAGAGTGTGGAGAAGGGAAAACATTCCATCTTAGTTCCAGTGCCTTCCCTCAATGCCTGCAGAACTCCCAACCCATCTTTCAGTATTTGTTGATTCCAAAGAGACGAACCCCATGGAACTGGGGTAGCTTAGGCAGCAGTACGCTGAGCAATGAGGCAGTGTTGATGAGGAAATGAGCAACATCATACTTAGTGTAGAAGCTGGCCAGTAGGTAGCTAGGAAGAAAAAAAAATAGGATGACCGAGGTTGGTCTCCCATATCCACATTAATGCCTTTCCAGTGACTTTTCTGTTTTGAATTATTAGTTTTATCGCATGTAGTCCAAAACTATTCTAGTTAAATCAATAGTATTTACTCTGAGGTTCAGGATATACTCAGAAGGTTTCCCTTTTTTTTTTTTTTTTTTTTTAAAGATTTATTTATTCATTATTTATACAGTATTCTGCCTGCATGCCAGAAGAGGGCACCAGATCTCATTATAGATGGTTGTGAGCCACCATGTGGTTGCTGGGAACTGAACTCAGGGTTTCTGGATGAGCAGCTTAACCACTAAGCCATCTCTCCAGCTCCCACTCAGAAGGCATCTTTAACTAGAGATTATGAATCTGTTTGCTAATTGTTAAATTGTAAATGACAGCCAAAGCTGTTTCAGCCTATATAATTTTTGGAGCCCATTTTGCTTCCTATCCCCAAGTCAGTTTTACTTTTTAACATTAATGTAAGTTTTGCCTTTACTTATTTGCTTCTTTTGGGACTGTTTCTTGGCTTTAGTTAGGAGTTGGTTTATTTTCAGTCCCTTCTCCCTTTCCTTATGACCAGGGAACCAGCAAGGAATGCTTGACTACTATTTTGTACTTTATAATGCTCTCTGTAGGAGCAGGACTAGTATTCTTGTGTGTACATAGGTACATGTTCATCTGTGGGTATGCATGGAGACCAGAGGTCAATGTAAATCTTCTTTAGTTGCTCTCCACCTTATTTATTTTATGTTTGAGACAGGGTTACTTTCTGGCCTGAAGTGCAACAATTTGGCTAGACTGGTTGGCCAGCAAGCCCTAGGGATCTTTCTGCCCCCAATTCTTCAGTGCTGGGATTATAGGCACCCATGGTTGTACATGGTCATGTCTGGCTCTTACCTGTATGCTAGGGATTGAACCCAAGTCCTTATGCTGTGTGCTAAGCACCTGGCTAAGCCATTTCCCCAGCCCTTTAGTTCCTTTTCCCTGGCTTGTTGGAGCCATTTCTGACCCAGCATCTCCTGTACCACCAGACTCACAGTACAATAGGAGAGATGCTGAGGAACTTTCGGGAGGAGGTAAACTGAAGTCCATAGTCCATCTGCTCCCAGTGTGTCAAAAGCCGAGCCTTTCCTTGGTCAGGGGTCTCAAAGGGTGTTCCTTTCACTGTATGTAGGAAGATATACATTGCCTGGGGAGAGGGAAAGGGACAATATTAGGGGTAGAAAGTAGTCCTTCAGTTCAAGAATTATGTTAAGATCCCAAAAGAAAGATAAAATCCCAAACGGTTGGTGACTTTACTGTGTTTTGGTTGGGATAGACCTGGGCTGGGTACAAGGGTACGGTTTAGTGCTCACCAAGTTATGGATGACGTTGGTCAGGGTCCAGACAACAGGAATGCTGAAGAAAGGGATGCTGAGGAGAACCACATGCAGCAGTCCTACCAAGATGATGTAGGCCAGCCAGATGCCCCGACTATTCATCACTCGAGTGTTGGGGTTTACTTCGCTGTGTGCCACCCCCACATTCATCCTACCACAGTGAGGGATCAGGCAGGAGTCCAACTCAATTTCCTCTTAACCCCTGATTGAGCTTGTTCCCCAGTTGTCTCCTGAAAAGCCAAAATCCCCTGAACTCTTGGGAATGAAATACTCTCTTTATTCTCTATCATGCAAAAAGAGCAAAAACTGAAGATTTTGTTAAAATTTGAGATGACATGAAGCAGCTGGGTGTGGTGGCTCATGCTTGTAATCCCTGCATTTGGGAGGTTGAGGTATGATGGATGTTATGAATTTGAGGCTATTTTGGGCTACAGTGAGATCATTTCTCCAAAACAAACAAAAAGGCAACAGGGTCTTTGAAATGGCTAAACCGGAAAAAGGCATTTGCCAGCATGCCTAAAGACCTGAGTTGGGTGCTCAGGACCCACCAGTGTAAGGAGAGAACTGTCCTCTGACTTACATACCTGCTGTCGTTAGTGTGCATACCCACACCACAAGTGTTTTTTTTTTTTTTTTAAGGCCCTCACTACTATAGAAACATGGTAATTTTCACTGCGATCTTTACACTTCAACTAAACATGAAGCAGTAAGCTTAGACTGTGACACTCAAAGGACAAGGAAAATCGGGAGTATTTTAATTTACTTTCTTGAAGTTAATCATAAAGGCACACACACCCAGAGTTCCACAAGAAAGCTATGCAATTAATCAAGGGACCAATAAGAAGGTATCGAGAATGAAGCTACCTCTAGCTCCCATCTTTTTTTCTGGGGCAGGATGTTAGCAGCCAGCAGCAGCATCCCTTCTCAGAAGCGTGGGGCGCTGCAAGAACTTACCGTTTTTAAATTAGTCTAGGAAGGGGCCTGAGCTCAGTCCCTCACTGGAGCCCTCTTCTTCTATAGGCGGTTTTGCCTTTTAAGCCTCTGCTAACTCTAATGCCTAATTCTATTTTTTTTAGCTGCTCTTGCCTATCCCCAAGTACCGAGTCAGCCCATGAGCCTCCGCCAGTCCCACTTTCGGCATTTAAGGCTGTCGTTTCGCCACCCTTCCCAATACTACCGCCGATTTCTCTCCGTAACCTTCACGTTTCGCGCAGCCCATACCTGCTGGCCTCAGGACCCTGCCCGGCTGGGGCGCAGCGCTGGCGCCCAGGCTCACACCTGTGGTCTCCAGGAAGTGGTCCGTCTTTAGGCCCATCTGCGCTCTCCCTATTGGCGGAACAGAATCCGTGCTGTTCCCAGCCATTGGCTGGTTATGCAGCAGGGACGTACAATTGGTCATCTTTTCTCTCGTTAGCTATGCAAGCCCCGCCCTTCCCCGTCCCCCTTTTCGGAGAGCCGTGGAAGGTGGCCAAGAGGCGTGAGAGCGACGCCTCCGCTGCCTAATGGGAAGAGCCGTTGGTGAGCGGTGGGAGTAAGAGTGGCAGCGATTGGTTGATGAGGCGAGGCCCTGGAGGCGGGGACAGCCGTGGGGTCTGGTGGAGTAAGGCGCAGCAAGATGGCGGCCGAGACGGTGGAGCTCCACAAGCTGAAGGTACCGTTACGCGGGGAAGGCTGAGGTGCGCTGTTCTGGAGCCCGCCTTCCTCCTGCGTAGAAGAAGGGGTCAGGAGCCGCTCTAGTCCACGAGTTCCTTACCAGGCGCTTACACTGCTTTCCTGGCTCCCGTTGTAGTTTTGTGCCTCCCTTCTTAGGCCTGCCTTAAACTCCGTTTCTCCTCAGGATTTTATTGCTTTCTTTACCTGTTGTTTCCTCTCTTCTCATTGTTTTATTTTCTGTTACCCTTCCCTCCCCGGCCCCGAAGCGCCTTCTATCTTCTACAACCCTTTTCATTTGATCTGCATTATGCATTACGTCAGTGGTCCTTCCCCCGTGCCCATGCGGGCCCCAAATTATGTTTTCTTCCCAGATTGATGTATTCATTTTTCTTGTCCCAAAGCCGAGATTCCTCAGTTAGCATACAGTGGCATTTTGGCATATGTTTTGAATACGTCCCAAACATAATCTAGAAAGTGCTTTCATTCCCTTTTAGCTAGGTGGGGTTAAACCACCTAGACTCGAATTTTGAAAACAAGGAGAGGCCTTTAAGATGGGTTTCCTGGTGGAAGCCTGGGACAGAGACAGCTCCAAGACTGTAAAATGACGGAACACATTAGCCCTAAAAATTCTGAGTTTTCTCAGGATCTCAGCGTGCTGCCCTCCTCGGGGACTATGCTACCACCAGAGAGAGAACGTATAGGTGTAGTATAGATAGCTGTGCTATTGGAAATATATAAAGTATGTTTGAAAACGTTAGGATTTTGCTTGTCCTGTTTATTATTGAGAAAGACCCTAGGTCTCTTGGTTTCACTGGTGTTTTGTTTGTTGTTGTTGTTTTTTTTAATATCTAATTTTGTTACGATATGAGTGAATGGCGATTCCCATGGTGGTTAGAAGAGGGAGGGTGTTGGATCCCTTGGAGCTGGAGTTCCAGGTAGTTTTGAGTAGCCTGGCGTGGGTGCTGGGAATAGAATTTGGGTCCTCTAGAAGAGCAGTAAATGCTTTTCACCGCCGAGCCACTTCTCCAGCACTTCTTGGTGTCACTTCTTGGTGACAATCTGAACCACAGTACCTATTTTGAGTTGTAAATTTTGGTAATTTTATATGTAGACTTAACACTTCTATTATTATTCTGTAAGGACAGTAATTCCTTTTAGGAAGACTTAAGAAACTATGTTCCTTTCTGTTTGTGTTTTCACAAATAGCTTTGTTATTAGTTGTTTTGCTCACTTTATCCTGGGAGCTTTGAACAAGTCAAACTTACTTAGAACAAAAAACTGTCCTTTTCATTTATTTATTGAGACCGGATCTCACTTTGTAGTTCTAGCTGGCCTGGAACTCACATAGATCCACCTGCCTCAGCCTTCCAGATGTTGAGATTTAAAAGCGCACCGTGCCCAGTCTTTTTTAAATAATAGTTTTATTTATTTTAATTGTTGGATTGTAATGATTTTTTGAAAAAAAGATTTATTTTATATTTTATTGTATGGGTATTTTGTCTGTCTGTATGTCTGCGTGCCTGTAGAATTACAGACAGTTTTTATTCTCCATGTGTGTGTGTTGGGAATTAAACCTGAGATCTCTGAAAGAAGTCAGTGGTCCTAACTGTTGAGTCATCTCTCCAGCTCTGAAAACTTTTTTTTCTTAAAACTTCATTGGGTCTGGAGAAATGGCTTTGCAATTAAGAGCACTTGCTCTTCCAGAGGACCTGAGTTTGGTTTACAGCACCCAAGTCAAGTGTCTCACAACTGCGTGAACACAGCTCCAGGGGATCTGCTCTCCTGAGGTGTCCTTAGGCATCTGCTTCTGTGTGGCATGCTTGCTCTCTCTCTCTCTCTCTCTCTCTCTCTAAGAAATAATTTTTAATCTTGAAAAAAATATCGATGAATTTTTGTCTTTCTTTAAAAGTTGTAAGTGGTCAGGTGTGGTTACACATGCCTGTAATCCCAGCATTCTGGGAGGCAGAGGCAGGTGGGTCTCTGTGAGTTCCAGGCCAGCCTGGTTTACAAAGTAAGCTCAGGACAGCCAAGGCTACACAGAGAAACCTTGTCTCACAAAACAAAACCCAAACCAAAAACAACAACAACCAAAAAGCATAAAAAAACTGTAAGTGAAGTGTGTGTAGTAAAGGCCCCTCTGATTTACTCTGTTAAGCTGACATCACTTTTTGAAAGCAGATGTGTTTCTTAACTGTTGGACTCTCAATGTCATTAGTGGATTTTTATGTTATTCTGGTTACTGTTAACTTGATGGTGCTATAATGGATTGTCATTGGTTTTCTAATGATTACATGAACAAATAAAGAAAAATTGAGCAACTACTTTCATTTTATTTATCCGTGTAAGTTACGTAGTTCTGTACTGTTATACATACTATAAAATATACACAGAAAATTAAATTTTAGGTAAATATTAACAATTAGTGGCATATCTGATGTTTTCTCATTTGTCCCCTTTTGAAATCCTGGAGTAAGTCTCTAGTTGTTCCGTGACTTTCCTTTATGGATATTGTACTGTTGAAAGAGTTCCTCCTTCCATCTTTGTTAGTTCAAAAGGTTTGCATTGATTGAATGAATCTCTTTTATCTATTGTTTCCTGACCTGATCTCAGGTCTGTAGTCTTAAGAGTCTTAAGAGGCACTCCTGAGGGCCTAAGCAGGACTTACTCTTTAATCACATTTGCTTGTTTTTGCTTTTTCTCTAGAGCACTTCTTAAACTTTTGGAGGTCACAGATATCTTTGAAACTCTGATGAAAGGTATGGACCCTCTTCCCAGAAAAAGGCATGTACAATACTTTGCATGCGATTTAAGGGGCTCCACAAAATTACCTTGTAGCCCTGAGGTGTCCATAGACCTCTGGTTAAGAGTCAATATGAATTCTGGCTTTGAAGACAGTCTTTAGCCCTAGTGTTGACTTGATTGAATAATCAGACTTTTTGGATTGACTTAAGAGTTTTTATTTATCTTTGAGACAGGGACTCTGTATAGCTCTTTCTGGCCTGGAACCCTGGGCTGCCCCAGAACTCACTGAGATCTGTCTATCCCTGTCCCCCAGTGCTGGGTCTAAAGGCAGGTATTTCCTTCCCTGGCTGATTTCAGGTTTTTAATGCCTTAGAAACAAAAACAAAACCTTTTCTCAAACTTCGAGGTGGTGTACCCTTAATCTCAGCACTCAGGAGGCAGAGGTAGGTGGATCTCTGAGTTTGAGGCCAGCCTAGTCTACAGAGCAGGTCCCAAACAGCCAGGGCTACATAGGGAAACCCTGTCTCGAAAAAAACACCACCAAACAAAAAACTTTCCAATCTGAGCATAGTAGTGCATATCTCTAGTTCCAGCACTGGGAAGGCAGAGGCAGGTGAATCTTTGTGAGTTCGAAGCCAGCGTGGTCTACATATAGTGAGTTTCAGGACAGCCAGGGTGACATGGTGTCTTAAAACAAAACAGAAACTCTTCCCATTTTTATGAAGAGAAATTGGGGACTTTAGTTCAGAGGAAAGGAATAAGCTTTAGGAAGGACAAAAACATCTGCGTTGGTATGCAAGTCTATACCAAGTTCAAATTTTTGAAAATTTTGTGTTAGTATAGTCATTCTGACTTGGTTGGACACACTGAATTCCGATAATTAAACACGATAAAAGGAACTCTACAGTGGAGAGAACCAGAGAGATACATAATACTGTCATAGTGTTGAGAACTATAAAATATTTCTGTTACTGAAATATGAAGTATGTAAATGTTGTTGCTGATACTTTGGAAAGTTAGTAAAACTGTGGCTATAAAAGGAAATTGGAGTGGTACTGAAGAGGATGAGGCTTTTGTTATTTAATCTGTTTGTTCTTTTGTATTAATGCAGGCATGTGCATTTGTGGAAGTCAGAGGGCAGCCTAGTGTCCATTCTTACCAGCTACCGTGTTTGAGATAGGATCTCTTGTTCCATGCTGCCTATTTGAGGCAAGTTAGGCCTCCTACCTTCTGAGGATTTCATCTGTGTCTGCCTTCCATCTCACTGTAGGAGTGCTAGGATTACATGCCATCTCATCTGATTTTATGTGGGCAGGTCCGCCAAGCTATTTTCAAACTGCTTCCCTTGTTTTGGGTTAAGATAGGGCTTCACTATAGCCAGAATAACCTTAGACTCACAGTGATCCTAATTTAGACAGAAAGAACCTTCTTAAGTAAGCAGTGTGTGTGTGTGTGAGAGAGAGAGAGAGACACCTCTTGCTGGCTTAGGATTCATGATCCTTTGCCTCCACCACCTCTCAGGTGTTGGGATTGCATGAAGTGTAATCTGTTTGGCAGAAGGCAGGAGTTATATTAACTACTCAGTCATCTCTCTAGCCTATAGGAGTTTTGTTTCTTGTAGCTATAGCATGGGTAAAGAAGCTTTTGAAAAATATAGAGGAGGAACCTAATCTGGTGAATTGGCAGTGTTGAAGATGGGATGTAGAGGCGGCGAGACCTCCCCAGTTAGGTGTGTATTATAAGTCTCCCTGCTTCAGATGGCCTTTTAATTTTCTCTGCCTTTCCCTCTTCATTCTGCACTGCCTTACCCTCCAACTACCATGCTTAAGTTATTTCTTCAAACAGTTTTTGTTCTTTATTTGCTAACATATTTGCTATGTGGCAACCACCAGTTGATGCTGCTTATATATGTAACAGCTTACTTCTCATAATAACTTTGTAAAGTAAAATGCCTCTATATTCTATTAGTTCTTACAACTAATAAAGTGGCTTCTCAATCCAAGCATTTTGCCTCCAAAATTCATATTAATTTTATCTTAAAATTTCAATGTATATTTATTATGCATATGTGTGTGAATGTGGCCTTGTGTATGTATGCCATGCCATACATATATACATCAAAGCACAACTTTTGGGAGTTGGCTCTCTGTTGCAGAATACTTGGTTCCATTGTGAACCCCAACACTGTGAACAGTAAAACTCAGCTTCTTGTTGGGTGTGGTTTAATCCAAGAACTTTGTGTTCATTGTATGTAAA